CCGTCTACTTCGAGCCGTCGGACCCGGCGAAGAAGCTCAAGAAGGTCGGCGCCCTCGCCGTCGAGGTCTGGACGACGAACAAGGGCATCACCTACGACAACTTCTACCTCGGCGCGTCCGTCGACGAGGCCAAGGCCGCCGCCGAGCCCTTCTACGAGAAGAAGGCCGCGGAGCAGGCCGCCGCCGAGGCCAAGGCCGCCGCCAAGGCCGCGAAGAAGGCCGAGAAGCAGAAGGGCATGAAGGGCGCGCTCAAGAAGGCCGAGGTCTTCGCGACGCAGACCATCGACACGGCCAAGGACCAGCCGCTCGCCGCCGCGGGCACGCTCCTCGCGACGCTCGTGTCCCTCTCCATGCTCTGCGGCAAGAAGAAGAAGAAGAGCCCGAAGAAGAGCGACGACGACGACGACGACGACGACGAGGAAGAGGAGGAAGAGGAGGACGAGGACGACAAGAAGAGCAAGAAGACGCCCAAGGCGGACTAGGTCCCGCGCGGCCGCGCGCGCGCGGCCTCCTAATCCCTGTTGAAAATCGCTAACATATCCCGCCGGCGGGATATGTTAAATGTGCCAGAAGACTCGCCAGAACCCGTCCAGAGAAAACATGTCGCTCATATTCGTGCCATTAGAGACATTCCAATTTAGCGGCCGATTGAATCTTAAGGCAAAAGTAACCATTGCTTCCATATCTGGCGCGTGGTCCTCGAACTCGCGGCAGAACGACGCGAAGACGCGCGTCCGGGTCCATCGATGGTGGAACAGGCAGGCAGCGTGAAATCGGAGACGCCGTCGCCGTCGACGTCGACGCCGATGACGCCGCCGCCAATGCCGCCGACGCGCGACCCCACGCGCGACCCCCGCCGCATCGTCGCGTCTCGAGAAACCTACCGAAGCAGACCATATCACGTCATATCGCGTCGTGTCATATTTCACTTCAACAATAATTATTATCTCACACCCCATGAAGCTAGGCTCGGACTCTGACTTCGAACCTTCCCGGAGCACTTACCAATCAACGGACCAAGTTGCAGTGAAATGTATCGCTCGGCTGAAACGTCGTCTTTTGCTCGAGACGATGTGGTTGGCCGGCGGCGCGGGGCTGCGTCCGGGGTTCGGGGCGCCCGAAGGTAGTACACTCTCGCGGCTGCCGGCCGGAATCAGGGCGACGAGCGCGCGGTCTGAAAAGTGTACTACCTTCGAGCACCCAGAACCTCGCCGCGGGGACCGCCTCGCGCGCGCGGGAGAGAGAGGGAAAAATGATCTCAGCTTCTGCGTGTTCCCGAGACGAGCGGGCTGAAGTTCTGGGATGCCCGACCCCGAATTCCCACTGCAAAGTGTGCTCAGTTTCTCTCCCCCTGGCCTGGAACATGCCAAACCCAGCATCAGAGATCGTGCGACCATCATCGACGACGTCCAACCACTTTTCGAAAGTAAACTACTAGGTTCAATAAGTTAATGTTGCGTTCCGGCCAACGATTGGTAAGTGAAGCTCCGGGAAGGTTCGAGCGTGGTTGATAGCAAAGCTGTTTGTAAGTGTTACAAACACTAACTCAAGCTCACGAAGCACTCGTAGACACTTCTGTCAGCGCGACGGAACAGTTGCTGGTTCGACTTCTGTGTTTTTTTTGCACATTTGGTGGTAATTTTCGCCTTTTTTTGGCCGTTGAAACACTTGCCAACACTTGCCTCTCCCCCCTAAACACTTACATTTTGTGCTCCAAAACACTTCACTGGAACTTTGCTATCAACCACGGGTTCGAAGTCAGAGTCCGAGCCTAGCTTCATGGGGTGTGAGGTAATAATTATTGTTGAAGTGAAATATGACACGACGCGATATGACGTGATATGGGCTTCTTCGGTTGGTTTCTCGAGAGTCATATCGCGTCCAGAAGGTCGCCGCCGGCAGCTCGACCTCGGTGCCGGCGAGCGTGAGCGTGCAGTCGAGGTCGTCGCAGGCGTCGGGGAAGGCGAGCGTCGCGCCGGCGACGTTCGTGACGCCGGCGGCGGCGGCGCTCAAGACCTGGAAGCACAGCAGGGCCAGCCGGAGCGGCCGGCCGGAGGCCGACCGCGTGGCGCGTTGCATGGCGGGCGCGCGTTGCATTGCAGAGATCACCGCGAGGTGTTGCTTCGAGACTGCGCGGCGCGGCCGGGGCTGCCAGTGGGCATTCCCAGAAGTAGCCGGGCGGCGGCGAATGAATGAAGCTCGAGCCAAGGGGTAATAAAAAAAAAATTTTAATTTTTAATAGTACTCTAGATTTATATCCCTTTGCTCATGCGCGATATACACTTCAATAACGACAAACTTGAAGTGCGCACCACGAAGGTGCAGTCGTCTAGACGGGTGAAAATCCAAGGCTCGACCAAACGCGTCCAGTCCAGCAGGCTTGCTGTTCGGGCGTGCGCGCAGCCTCCCGCCGTTCCTCCGCTCCACGAGACTGATCCCGTCGGGACGACGCATTTTTGCTCCCGGCTTGCAATTGCTTCGGGCGTGCGCCGCAACCCTCCCGCTCCACTCGTCCCACGAGCGGCTCGGGCTCGTCGGACACCTGTGCAGCTGCGCATGCGCTGCCAATGCGCGCTTCTCCTGGGGCTCGCGTGCGTTCGGGGCTTCGGCCTGCGCCCGACCTTGCATGGACGCCCCGGGCGGACGGCGCGCGCGAGCACGCCGGGCGAGATCCTGTTCGAGGCGCAGCGCGAGGCGATGGCCGTCGCGGCGGAGGAGGAGGGCGCGTGCTTCGAGGGCCGCGTGACGGCCCTGCCGGCGCCGTCGCTCGCGGCGAAGCCGAAGTCGAAGGCGAAGGCGAAGCGGCGGCGCGGCGCGGGCTTCGCCGGCGCGACCGACGCGGCGGGCGACGCCGCGGCCGCGGCCGCGGCCTCGGCGCGGTGGCGCGCGCTCCGCAAGGCGGGCGTCCTGAAGATCGAGGGCGCGATACCGCGCGAGACCGCGGCGGATCTGCGGGCGTACGTCGTCGACGACCTCGCGGCCGCGCGCGCGGCGTGCGCGGCCGCGGCCGAGGCCGGCGACGCGGAGGCGCGGCGGGAGAACCGGCGCCGCTTCCACTCGGACGTCGCCGAGCGGCCGCTGCGGTCGTTCCTGCTGACGCCTCTCGACGAGCCCCGGTGCCACGCGGGCCTGCGCGGCCTCCTGGCGAGCGGCTCGCCACTGGGCGACGTCTCGAGCGCGCGG